AGGTTAGAAACTTGAAAGGCCACCAAGTGACATCCAACCTGAGAGATGGACGTTGTAGCAGTGAAGGAGGAGACATCTTGTGTCCAGCAGGAAAACTTTAGAAAGGACAGTTGCATATTCAGAGATTCTGGAGTATAATGAGGTAGAATGATTTTAGGATTTTAATGTAGAAATGATCCCTTTCTGCTGAAAAAACATATCAGACACACATTATTGACTCAAGCAGACTATTTGTATATTTATCTTAATACATGTCTGGAGGGGATCTTTTAATAATGTTTTTGTTGCTGTGAGCAGATATAGTAAGAAAACAAATTAAAAACATTTTCAGTGAACAGATACTGAACAGTATTGCAGATACATTAATTAGCAATGTTTCCTTCTTACAATAACAAACATAATCTGGGTTACATTACATTTCTTTCAAATGTATTTTCTGTTGCTAATTACTACTATTTCAACATAGTTTCTAGAAGACATTGTTGGACAGGTTAGTCCATTAATTTTGCCTTTCTTTGTGTTAAGCTGTGAAACAGATTGGAACTCAAATGCTCACTATTACCATACAATGAACTAAAAAAAGGGAAATCAGAAAAAGAGGCCTGTCTTTAATTATAGCCTTCCTTAAATTAAGGCCTGTCCAGCAGAACACAACGAGACACACACACATGACATGATATACTGAAGCTTGGTCTAAGGGGTAAACTCTGATGAGAATGGAGACCAGACTCCCTCTAATGTTTTTTGATCAGAGTTTGCATAATAGCCTCGGCCTATGTGGAGTGTGTGTGTGTGGGTGTGTGTGTGTTTGGGTGACTGAATAAAATAGGCTGCATGGGCATGAAGGACAATGAGGGAAATGTAATACTGATTGATTGACTGTGTCCTAGACTGAGTATATGCAAAGCAGGACAAATGTGTGTGTGCGTGTGTGTGTGTGCATCTGATGTGAGCTGGTGTATGCAGAGCTTGGCAGAGCAGCTCTCCAGAACACAACAAATAAGATTAAAATGCAAAATGCAGGCAGGGAAGTAACAAGGCAAGCGGCTCGGGCCTTTTTAACATATGCTGAAAAATTTGCAAGTTGGAAGGGCAACATTAGATCAACTCTGGGCTTTGTCATATTGGCGCGCCGTCATTGGTCCAAGGCCGGCCGAGATCACTGTCAGCTGTTGACCCCGCCTTTTTTAACTGAATCAATCTGGGGTGGTTTAATAGCAACCATTAATTGGTTCAGGGGTTTACATAAAGTAGTATGACTGTAGCCACGCTTGTAATGTGGCTGTAACACAAGATAGGACTTTACTGGTTCATGGGGGAAAACACAACAACATGATGCATGTGTGTATGCAATAAAATGAAAAATTAAAGAACCCCTCCAAACACGTGTTAATACATAAATATCTGCTCAGAACAATAATTGCATGTCTGATGTGTTTCCTGCAAAAGAAAGTATAATGTACACATTAAAAGCCTCCTCCTTCAACCTCATTAAAACTTCCATAATCTCTGAATATGCAAAATTGTGTTGAAGTTTTCCTGCTGGAAACTAGATGTGCCCTACTTCACTGTAAGTCTATTCTCAGTGGATGTGCAGTGCACTGGTGGCTTCAAGTATCACTGTACTGTAAAAGTTGCATACTGGACCATACCAACTCTCCCTTCCAACAGCTGCATCATTGCCTTTTGGTTTGTATTAACGTTAGTTTAAAAACATACTCTTATATTAAATATCTTGCGTCAGTTCCCTACTTGTCACATTCCCTCAGCCTGTTTGTCACAAATGGGGGCTCGCCCGGGATGCAAACCTGTTTGGTAAAGATTTAATTTAAGTGAAACTGAGAAAATGTTGATTGGTATGTTGGTGACCCATTTGGTTTGTGACCTTGTGTTTGTGAATGGTAAAATAAGTAAGAGTAGATTAAAGTTATGTTGATGATTTTGACATTGTAAGATTTTGGGGACTATTCATGCAAGGATTTTTTGTTTGGGTGGAGAGGGTCGTTACAAAAATGATACATAATAAAAGAATGATGTATGAATGATGATATACATACTTGAATGGAATATGTCTAACCATAGTCACAGTAGCATTTATCAATTCTACAACAAATATGTAATCAATCAAATACATCATATCCATCATATGAGTTGTATCACACCAATATGCTGTTTTGAATAAAAGGCCAATAGTGGTCCCACTGCTCTGTTCAGCCTTAATTTGAAGCAGTGAGCAGGAGATTCTGGATGCAGTTGAAGTTTATATTGTTCTATTTAAAAAAACAAACAAAGGTTTCTGTCTAGTTTCAGCTTGAATTACGGCATGTTAGAGCTCTGTCCCATCCAAATTAATCAGATATGGCATTTGCAGTGTGAGTGTGATCTTTATTGAAAACCATTTCTGTAAAATATATTTTAAAATTGCCTTTAATTTTGCTTCTCTTATCTAAAGATCGGGCTGCATTTGAAACAGGCTTCTCATCCATTACTGAAATGTTTTTATTGCAGCTCATTATGCCACTCTGGTTGATGTCGTCATTGTCAGATTTTAGTATCAGCTCAATGAAAATGAATGTAATTCACTTTAATATTTTTGCAACCTTGCTGCTGTAATGTAGCATGCAGATTAGTGTGATTTTTCAGAGGATCGATTTAAAGCCCAATTAGTTAGACACATCATGATAAAACCAGAGTGTTCTGTCATTGTCCTGGAATTGCATTAAACACAGTGAGGCCTACACACACACTGCAAAAAATACTCACATATTACTCTGTCACACATATCAAAGTTTCTATACAACACACTTTTTTAAGTGTACTTTTGTTCGTATCGCCAATCAACTAATTCTCATACTCCACCTACATAAGATTTGCATGTATTAACGTATGTGTGTGTGTATGGAGCCTCAAAGTGCAGTCTGTGTGTCTGTGTGTATCAGTAGATGTTTTTGTTTGTTTTATGGGCCTGCTGACTGTCAGGCATAGGCCCTGCCATGATTCATGGGTTATTACAGTACCGCTGTAGCATGCACAAGCCATAGCTCATCATCAGATTGCATTCATATACGTCACACCACTAACAACATGCACGTACACTTGTCCTCATGCTCACTCATATGCATATACACACATACTGAACACCTGCTGGCACACACATATACACACACACAGGAATGAATATATGGATGTCTGATATTGAGAAAGAGAGGCGAGGTGGGGGCAACTTGGAGGAAATTGATCTTTTGCTCAGGATATATCACCAATGGACTATGTGCTGGCGGTGGGGCATATTAATGCTGTTGTCTGACTAGTTAGACTAGGCAGAGGCAGACACAGCACAGCGTAGGGGATCTCCATCACGCTAGAGAGAGAGACAGAGAGAGAGAGAGAGAGAGCGTTTCTCAGCACTTACAGTGGAGCATATTGTGTTTTTCTCTGCTGCTGTAGACAGTAGGTGTAGTCATCCATATCCGGGGCCCTCAGAGGTCTGAAGGTGCTTGGGAGGTGATACAGTATATTTGGAGTTCAACCGGACTCCTCTTGAGGCATCCATGTGTTTGAGTTTGCAGCCCACTGATCCTCAGTGTAAAAGGTTCTATACTTTATACTCCTTAACATAAATCTTCTATTATGTATACACATAGTGTCTGGACTACATGGTTTAATGATAATAATAGTTTAGTTGTGCACTAGCAGCTAGCTGGGTATTAGTATGGGAATATCAGTCAATCCTAGATCTCACTGCCTACCAATTGTCCAGGGGATTTGGAAATGCAAAGTAGTGGCTTGAATGGTGGCAAGAATGTCCGCTAACAGATGTATGCCCCTTACTTTAAGGAGGGACAACATCACCTTACCTGAAACGATGCTCTCCCCACACTCTCCTCTGTAGTAAAACAAACTGTAGATATAGCAAATTACTTTGTACCCTTGAAAATGGATGTCCCGAGCAACGTTATATGGTACAACAATGTTTACAAGCACAAGCAGTGTTGTCAACACCCTAAAGACCTCGAACTGGTTCTGCAATGCATGTTTTTCTCTGAACACTCTCATGTTTCCACCCAGTTTTAGCATCGAAAGCTTGGAGATAGTCCTCAGTGTCTATTGAGCGAAGCATTTAGAGAATAGCTTGTGAGTCCAGCTGGGGATCAGTCAAGTATATTGACAGGCAACTAATGCTAGCAGAATGTAAACAGTAGTAGGAATTCCCCAGTTAAACTTTAAACATGTATCAATATTTAATGCAGTTTTTATGCATTACATTCAGTAGACATTCTGAGGGGGGATGACGTCTTCCCTCAATTTAGAAAAATTACTAAAATGCATGCACCTTAACCTGCCACCCCCCACCTCCATCCCCTAAGTAGTAGGGCCAGAGGGGGTTGTTTAGTTCAGTGTTTTACAAATACGGGTATATGTCCCCTTAGAGGTACTTTGGAATACTGCAGGGGGTATGTGAGATTTGCATGCATAATTCCTAAAATAATTATACTATAAGTTAAATAAAAAATCTGAATGTGGGTTTGATTAATTGATTGAAGTTCAATGCAACTTCAGTGCCGTCTTAGTGTTATTGTATGATGTCAAAAATTGATTTGCCATGAGTTTGGTGATGGATTCTTAACACTGAAATATAGCATTTAACTGTTTTCCAGTTACAAGGTGGTGCTGTATTGTACCTGTTTCGAAAAGATTTATTTTATCTACCAAATCAATCCTTTATCTGACCAAAGTATGTGCAAGTTAAGTCTGCATCTCTGAAATATCAGCAGCCTCACTGTGCTGTGTAATGATACATTCATGGCGCTGTCCGTGGTGCTGAAGTAGCAGACAGATTTGTAATTGTGCATTTTTCTCTCAGTGCTACCATTCTGTCAGTTCAATCTGTAATATTCTCTAAACTATATATTATAGTCAATTCTATACTATACTGTAGCCTATATAGTCTATAGTGTAGTGTCACCTTCATGATCAGAGTGACAAGTAGCAGTGTGTAGTTATGGAAGAGTGAGAGGATCATAGGCACAGTGCTGTCTGTAGTATTCCTATGCTGAACATACTCCCTTGTAACAGAATATTTGAGGGTGTCTCCCCTATAGAGTTTTAACTACAGGTTTAAAAAGCATGATGCCAGCTATAGCCTGTAGAATTACAAGGAAATTAAAGCCAGATTATAGACAGTTACAGCTTTAAAATACACCTGAAGAGCATTTATTTCAGAATATTTATCTAGAAGAAAAGAATTAACGCAGTACCGGAAAACTATTCACAGTAATGTAACTGATCATTCATACACCTAATGCCAGCATACAAGTTACAACTAATGTAAATGTAAAATATGCAGAAAGTGCTGTTGACCAAGTGTGGCCAGTGTTCCTCAGACTGATGCTTGTGTCAGTTATATATAGGTATGAAAGTTTAATTCAGACTGGAAAAGCTGAAAAAATGTGCCAATGATCTGATCTGACCCCCGACCTAAAATTCTTACTTTCCACAGCACTGTCCACATTTGTATAGATAGACAGATAGATAGATACTTTATTGATCCCTGGGGGGCACATGAAGGCGTTACAGCAATTCACATTCTTAGTGACAATTTAACACAGGTACAACGCTGAGAGTAATCAATGAATAAACCTCTAAATATCAGACATAAATGTCTGTTTTGGAACACATTTGTGACGATCAGAGACTCAATAAAAAGATATTTGACTGGGACATTTCCCAGATCAGGTTATAGAACAGGTCTGTTTCAGTAAAATTGATTTCTTTGGGCTGGATGATCCTGAAATACTTGAGTTGTCTGGGAGAGAATGTTTAAAACTGAGCTGTAAATGTGTTTCTGGTGTCTTGTTAACCCGTCCGGGCTCAGAAACTTTGTGTGCATGACATGAAAATCAAATGAAAACCAATGAAATCAAGTGAACTGATCTGTATCTAAAGACCTCAGATTCACATGCAGACGCACACGTGCAGACGCTGACATATAAAGCACACAGCAGCTGACCGACAGACACAACAAATCAATGCCTGCTTCTACACGTGTGTCAGCGTGTGTGAGCTCATCTGCATATATGCAAATGAGCTCACACACGCTGACTGCCATATACGTCGTCGCAGAGACTTTATCTCTATGCAATTATGTAAATGAGGCCTGGTGTTGTAGGACAGTTACGTAAAACGCCGTATTTCAAACAAGAAGGTTTAGCAGGAAATTACATAAGACGCCGGTTTCTGAGGCTATTTACAACCGACACGATGTGCCGGATTCAGGCTGTGAGGAAAGAGGGAGTTTAACGCTGCACATGAGCCAGAAAGCGGGAAAATGTAGTTCATCAGCTTCTGTTGATAATAATTCATCAATCTCAAAGGATTATTATGTGTTACTGTGTTTGAGCTGCTCTCATTGGCTGCTCTTGGTTTGGAAACAATGCCTGCTCACACAGGATCTGGTATTCCAGATTAACAGTAAAATGTGTTTGTGAACAGATTTGAGGAGAGAAATAGTCAACAACAGAATCTGGATCA